AGCAGCTATGAACAACTCAGCTTTTTGCATAGGGCAACTTTTGATGGTGGGTGGGGTCACATTCACCTGTTTTTGTTTTTGTTTTTTTGGAATTCTCTCAAGCCTAGAGGCATTAAGAGATGTTACTGCTTTAACGGATTTTACCAATGACTCATGGGAGGGAATGTTCTTTCACTTTGGATCTTCTCCAGAACCAAAACCATGGACAAACCAGAGGAGAATGACCTGTATCTTTTAGGTGTAACCAATGCAACCCAATGTATATATTTCACTAACCTTAGGAATCATAAACACCCACTGCCTTCCAACTCTTCTGTTTTTACCTGTGAAAAGATCTACATTTCCTATGCCTCCGCCCCTTTATTTTTACTTAAAGGTTATGTGAGCATGAAGCTTATACTCATCTCCCAGCCTACAGTTGGGATGGGCGTCTTATGCTATTGGGTGCTTGACCTTTCTGTATGCCTTGCCTCTCATGCAAGTAAACCCATCAACACACCTTAAACAGGAACTATCATCTGATTGTGAGAGCGATGTGGCACTCTTATCCAAAACAGAAACCATGACTAACATTTTCCTTGGTGGTGGTCCTTGCAGTAAACAAAAGAACTTACATGGACCTAAGAAAGGTGGCCTGCATCCTAGCTAAAAGTGTCAACCTTCCTCACTGCAGCTCTAACTGAAGAAATTATCTATATCAGGACTGCAGTCATCCAAAACCATGTGGCTATTGACTATCTACTATTAAGGGCAGGACACAGCTGTGAATCCTTTCAAGGTCTTTGTTTTAACCTAACCAACAGTGAGAACTACACTGAAGCAAAACTAGCCAAGCTCAAAATTCTAGCCTCTCACATCTCCAAAAATCCAAGGGATGCATCTGGTTGTGGCTCACATCTTGGTTACCTGGATTGGTATCCTAGAGAAGGAAAATGGTTCAAATCTTGCTGTTGGTATTATTTGCCTATATATTAATTTCTTCAATCTTTCAATGTGTTAAATCTGTTTTCTTGAAATATTGTAGCTCCATGCCAATTGGACAGCAAACCTATTGGCAAGCATATATGAAAAAACCTGTAATTCTCTGAGTGGGTAATGAGTGATCCTTACTTGTGGCATCTCCTGTTTAACTTGATGCCAATGTGTGAGACTAGGCTGAAGCTTCCATAACCTAAAGGTGAACCAGGCATGTAAGCAGAGGGAACAAAAAGCCAGGAATCTTGTCTAAAAGACCCCTTCAGGGAGGTGGGTATGAAGGAAACAAGTTGTTAAGGAAATAAAGGAAAAATGTCACCTGAAGTAGACAAAGGAAGCTGGGCCTGAGCACATGGGGGGAAAAAAAATCCAATCCCATCATAGCTATCAGACTTGTAAATTAACAAGGCAAGAGTAGCTGCCAGTCTTGTGAACCAACAAAGCAAGAACTTTTGGGGATACAAGGGGTCCTGAAGTGCGCCCACTCCTTGAGTTGTTTTTGGATCCAGACTTGGCACCTTCCAGCCCTCTAGCTAGTGCCTGGCAACCTAGTTGAGAAGGACGTGGGTAAGTGTGGATGTTCCTGTGAGAAAGAGCAAATGTACATGGTAACCGGTAAAGTTTTGCTGTTACTTAAATTCACTGGTTCTCTGTGTATTCCAGAGAGCCTTATGTGCCTCAGTGTTTGGTTGAAAGTGATTTGTGTGTGTCCCTAATTATTTCCTGGTTGTTAACCAGGGCTGTGTGTTTTGTCTGCTCTGGCCCCACCTATCTGGAAAACCCAGGTAGAAAACAAGGGGGATCTGCATGCCTCAACAGGCTGTGACTGTGTGAGTGAGTGACCATAAGCCGAAGCTATGAGCTTGTGTAACATAAGCTAGACTTTGTTTAGGGGTATGTGTGTGGTTTTCCAACTTTTCCAATTTTTCATCCATGCCTTAACTTAATATCTCACTCAGATATGTATTCTAAAATTAGTTTTAAAAGAATGGGGAGGTAAAATAGACAATCTATATTAGAACATAAGATTAGGCCTTAATGAAATTCTAATAGAAGATAATATATTTAGCTCAGGGCTGAACTGTAGAGTCCTTGGTCCTCTCTGAGCTTGGTTGGTTGCTTGCTTGCAGATGTTTCATTACCCGACTAGATAACATCATCAGTGCTAGCGAGTGTGGGGTTTGCTTTCTGTTTATATACAGTAACTTGCTCACCCAGTGATGGTGGGGGTGTGGTTTTCTCCTTGGTAGTTCCTTGATTAGGGTATTGTATTCTGCTTGATTGTTTATCTGGTGTTAATCCCTGCTTATCTGGATGTTGGCTGCTGGAGACGATGTGTTCTGGTCATTTTGTTTCCTTCTTAGCATTTTTATTGTCTCTTTTGAATGGTGTGTAAATATGATTTATTTCTATGTTTCTGTTGATGGCTGATTTGTCTGTTTTCAGGAATTCCCTGGCGTTTTTGGATTTGGCTTGTTCTAGGATGCTCACAATTTCTCATTTGAAATTGTGGTTGAGTCTGTCCATGTGTTGTGAGATTAAGGAGTTTTCATTGGGTCTTCTGCCTGCTGGTTGGTGTTCATGGATGTGCTCTGCTAGTCTTCTGCCTGTCTGTCCTACAAAGTGGCTGTTACAGTCCTTACACTGTTTGCTGTAGATGGCTCCTGTTTTTTTTTTTTTTCTTCTTGGGTTACTGGGTCTTTGGTCTTAATGAAATTCTTTAGGATCACCATTCATCCTATTGTTTTACTTGAGGAAGAAATAAGAAAGAAAACTTCATTTCTTGTTGAAGAACAATGATGCACTATAGGTAGAGATGGGGAGAAGTGTGTTCAATTTGTGTTTAATATGAACCAACCCAATTTGCATGCACAAAATTGCTGTGTGCTCTGGATCACAATTATCCATTTGTTCAGCACTTCTCCAAACCCTGTAATGCGGTTATCTGATTTTAAAAAAATTGCATTAAAAATGGATGCCATGGAAAATTGCATTAAAAGTGAATACGCTAGAGAAAATAGACTTCATATTGCATGATCACAACAACGATGATGATGATGATAATAATGATGATGATGTATTAGCATGGTAATCTAGATTTATCTTTTTCTTCTTTAAAAAACAAAAAAACTTGATCTGCTGCTGGAATGATCCTGTTCATGCTGGAATAAAACCCAGGAAAATCTGGCAAAGAAATGCTTTAATAACACATATGTCACTGTGTAATCCATTTATTACTTAAATAAATACAGGCTGGTTTCTAGGCAGTTGCTAGGAAATATTATTTTTGGGGCTAAGTGCACCATTTCCATTGTGATAATCATTCCTGAAGCACTACTGCCCCCTAGCCGTAAAAAGTGGGCAATGCATACAAATCAAATAGCACTGACTCCCTTTCTTTCTTATCCCCCTAACACACACATTGTTTCATACACAATTCAGGGATTACTTATTCTGCTGCCACAGGAAACATACATACTTTCCCCAAAAATTAGTAACAAAGCTGAAAATAATTCAGACTTGTAGTTGCAATGGAAGGTTTAGTTTTGCTTTGATAATCAAGCATGATTCTTGATTTTTAAAAAAGTAGAGATTTTTAAAAAAGAAAAATTAATAGAATTTTAAATAATTTGCTTTTCCAACATAGTCATGACTCAAAAAAATCATAAAAACTTTGTTTTGGGTTATTTCCAGTTTGGGCAGAATTAAGAAAAAGAAGCGTGTGAGAAACATCTTATGGAAGCAGTTTGCTTAATTTTAAGAACATGATTGTAAATATTGTTGAGATGGGCTAAGAGATTTTACATTCCACTCTTCTTGAATTCTGATTTTTAATGGGCAGAACTTTAGTTGCTGTGCCTCTCTCAGGAACAGCATAATGCCAGAGATTCAGATGGCCTAGTGCAGGGTTCCTCAACCTTGGCAACTTTAAGATGGGTGGACTTCACCTCCCTTGCTGGCTGGGGAATTCTGGGAGTTGAAATCCACCTGTCTTAAAGTTGCCAAGGTTGAGGAACCCTGGCCTAGTGGCCCTCTGTAGGGCCCCAAAGATGTGGCCTTTCCCCATAGTCTCTCTATAATGGTTGGAAATTGAATGACTGTGGTTGGCATTGGTTACATTATATTTACTTTTCCATTCTTTTTTACCTTGTTAGATTTGCTTCTGGCTTTAATCCTATGTTAGTTGCCCAGATTTGCAATTTGTGAGTTGGGCAACCATTACATTGATTAAATACATAAACAACAAACAAATAAATAAACAGCCAGAATTAGTTTATGTGTAGCTTGCCAGAATGTTCAGTTCTTACAGTATGTTTTTTCTTTTGCCATAGCTTGCTACTGATACTATAAAACACTGCAGAACAATTGTCTACACAGGATTTAGCAAGTGAATGTAGGAAGTGTGGAGGATGAGTATAGTTTATAAGAAAGGCTGCAGTGAAACTAACAATGTTAAATGTGACTACAGTACTTGTCTAAATGGAGACCCAAGTCTGTAGGGTGCAAAGCCTATAACTGCATTTAGATGAATTAAGTTGCAATTACCTGCAACACTTTTTTGGTCAGCTGTGGAAGGGCTGGGGCTTGATGTTCCCTTCGTGCTGCCCTTTTTCAAGGCTTGGAGAATATTAATATATATCATTGCATCAAGATTACTTTTGTATTATTCTTCACTTATGCACAAGTGAATTGGTAACAGTATGTATACAATCACACTCTGGATTCTTGTAGTATTGTATGACTGTACAAAATGTATTTATGTCATGAAATCCTGTAGCCTGATACAACCATTTATGAAGTATATAGAGTATATAGTGTAACTTTACTGATCTAGGAGCGTGTGCTCCCGTGCTACCACATTAATTTAGAAAGAAAATTTCCCTTCTATCCATTCTGTAGAAAATCTCTGGGAGTTTCTGTCCCCTGGGTGGAAGTCATGCTATGCGCACACCTATAACTAAATCCATATAAGCTGTGATACTGCTCACTCTCCATTATTAAGTGCATTTGCAAGCGCAACTTACCAGTCAAAGTCTGCTTCTGTGCAAACACATGGCTCAGAGGACATGGCTCCAGCATACTTGCCTTGCATGCATTTCTTTTCGGACTTGCGCTTCTTGTAAGTCCTTTTGGCTCCCATGATGCATGCTTCTCCCTGAGTAAAGAAATGGGGAAAAATAACTTTCTCTGAATACCATAGTTATCAGATATATTTCTGCAAATTATAAATGTAAGCAGTTGGTGGTACACTTACACAAGAAGAAACAGTAGGGACATCCATATTTTTCTACTCTGAGAACCAATTTGCCACATATTCAGTGGCACAAAGACTATGGCGGTAGAACACCAACACCTTCATGGTAAAGAAACGAATGACTAACAGCAAAAAGTAACTAGATGAACCTGGATGTATCCTTTTCCCATTCCCATACCGGGGGGGGGGGGGGGAAATGGGAATAAGACCATTTAATCAAGCACAAAAAAAAAAAAACAAAAAAAAGAAAAAAGAAAATAAATACTCGGTTTTTTTTTTTCCCCCCCCCCCCCCCGGGGGGGGGGGGGGGAAATGGGAATAAGACCATTTAATCAAGCACAAAAAAAAAAAAACAAAAAAAAGAAAAAAGAAAATAAATACTCGGTTTTTTTTTTTCCCCCCCCCCCCCCCGGGGGGGGGGGGGGGAATGAGACATAGCACACTTATATCAAGCATACAGAAAGAAACACAGGTTTTAGTAATCTGACCAAAACTCTGCTAAGCAAAAACTAAGAATCCAAATAATTTCTCTTTTTTTAAAAAAAGGAGCCTCAATCTTTCAAGACATGGCTGGGAGCTTTCTAATGTCAACTGACCATGAATGAGTCCTTTCTAACTCCAAGCTCTGGCTCAGTTTGCTATCCAAACTACTTGTCCTCACCTGGTTGTAAAGAAATGAGTTGATAAGGCCTAGAAATCCTACACTCTTGTGAGTTTATGACACCTAGATCTGATGAGGCTCTCCAAGTCTGAGAAGAGCGTCCCTTTCATATCCTTTTGCATTGATTGGCTGTAGCAGTTTTAGGTAGGTAAGCCCCCATCACACAGAAAATGTATCTGGATATTCACTAGCAGCCTCCTTTCAGTGCCTCTGAACTTGCCCTGTCCCCATCAACTGAACTTGAAAAAACAACCCTGTAGCTCCCTGAACAAGAAGGATTAAGATATTGGCAACAGCCAAATTAAAAAAAAAAAGAACCAATTCTTACTTAGTGCCACTAGCTAATATCACAGTGTGGCTGGGTTCTTTCAGAACTGAATGGGTATTTTGGTTTGCAAGAATGACAAGTGACACAGAGAAACCATGACACTGGAGACATTTATGCATTTTCTTTTTTTACTCTATACAGTGAACTATTCCAAGGCTACACATTTTAAAGAGAAGAATACAGTGTTTGCCACCCAAAAACTGAACTGATGCTGTAAGGCAGAATTACCATTTTATCTGGCCTTGGGACCATCCCCTGTTTCTAGTTTCTGTGCCTTCTTGTCTTTTAGCAGAGGTGGGGAGGGATTTACCACTCAGTTCACAAACAATGGAGTGTGGTGCTATTTTCCCCCCAATTTGTTTCAAGTTCTACCTTTCACCATAAATGTTTACTAATTGCAGTTGGAATGTATACATACCAACATATTACAGGAAGTTAATTCATTGATTTTGAAGCAATAAGTTAGCTTGATCTCAACTTTTTAATTAATTATTATAATGTTTCAGCTGAACTCCAGGTCAGACGTTTTACCTGGCTATGAAGCTGCCAAGGTCGGTAATCATCCTCGGCACACCGTCGATCAAAAATGGACTTGTAATCTACTTTCACCAACTGCCACTCAGAACGATGGCTGAAGTGTCCAAACACTCTGAATAAAACATTGAATTATTACAATAGAAGGAGACAATTATTTTAACAGATTGGTAAAATGAAATAAATATAATTCTATACAGATCTTACACATTATGTCCGTTAGTATAAAAAGGGACTTATTTAGTGTATAAAGGATTGTAGCCTAAATCATTAAAAAAATATATCATAATTTCTGCTTACTTTATACATTCAAAGTATAATTACAGTTTTCAAATGGTATTGTAGGTTACAGGTTTAATTATGAACATGGGTGGCTAGTATATATAGAGTAGGATTTATAGGAAGGAAGGAAATACAAGTATTATTGTTTCATTTATTTACAATATTTATAAATTACTGACTCCCAGGACTCCCAGTAGCAGTGACAGAAATGGTGATTATTCCTTTGGAACTGACTGCATGAAGTTGAGAAGCACCATTCTTAGGATCTGCACAAAGCCACTAAAGAAAAGATTGCACTAGAATCAAATTGAAGTAATCAGTGTAACACTGCATATTCTTTTTATATTGCTAGATTACAAATTATATCATATCTGAGTATTAGATTTTCTATATTTTGATAATAATAAAACAGATCCCATTAGTATTATCTCATGTGAGATATTATCTATTTAATAATGTCTACTCACGTCATTATTAAAGTCTCTTCTCCGGGCTCCCCCAAAACCCCATCAACAAAAAGTGGGATGGAAGTGAAACTGTACTTGCTCCAAGATCTTCCTTCATCAAAACTTAACCTGGTGGTAACCAAAGAAAAAAGAAAAAAAAAGTAGAAGAAGAAAGAAATATAAGGAAAAAGGAAAATTCACTCTATGTATGTGAGAATAATTAATACTATATGTGAGTTATATATTCCATAGCTTTTCATAACAGATTCCAGAAAACTACAATGTTTCAAAAAGCATTATAGTGGAAGGAAGGAAGGAAGGAAGGAAGGAAGGAAGGAAGGAAGGAAGGAAGGAAGGAAGAGCTGCTTTAAAGAAGCAGACACAGGGTTTCTCTAAGGAACTATATATTCCTATGTGTTCTTTAGTGTTGAGTTCACATATTAAATGACATGTAGAAACTGCATTTTCCAAGAAAAAAAATTAACATAGTTAATGATAAAAGCAGAGTATTGCTGTTTAATGGAAGAGAGAACTCACTGAAGATAAATGCAAAACGTTGAACAAGAAATCATCTAAAATTATTATTCTATATTGCAGGCATATTAAGCATAATTTCCCTAATTTGGAAATGCTTAGAATGAAACTATCATTATGAACAGTTTAAAAATAGGACAGCAAAAGAAGGCAAGAGAGCCCAATCACCACAAAAGTAACATAATCTTAGAAATGATGAGAAGTGGGTAATGCAAGGATGTGGCTGCTGAATCACAGCTCCCAGAATCCCTGAGTATATGTGGGCTTCTGAGAATTGTAGTTCAGCAATAGGGTTTATCATTGGAGGACAAGGAAATTATGGTACAGTTGTAAAATGTGGAATTGTAAAGTGCACTAGAAGTATTTTAACAGATGTAAAAAAAGGATAGGGAAAGCATCATTTGCCTTCAATGTCTTTAATATGAAAACACCTATTACAGTACAGTACAATAGATTTAAAATGATATAAGAAACCCACTCCATATATATCATCATAAATCATAGCTGCTACAATGAATGAGGTCATTAAAAGTTCAGGTGCAGAAATGTATGCTGACAATAGAGTTATTGATTTAGGACTGTAACTTTCATTACTTCTAGTAACTGTGGATACTACTCACCTGAAATCCTCTCACATTGGTTACATGGGAATCTAGAAAATCATAAATACTACAAAAATAACTCTACATATTTCACTAATGATTTCAAGGAGATGCTCTTGAAAATATGGGAGAGCAAACACAGCATCTCTTTAGAGAAGCCGCTTTAAAGAAGTCCTTTTCTCAGGCTCTCCCATGTTAGAAAACACCTCCTTCAATCATTTTCAAACATGAAGAACAAAACCAGGTCTGTTTTATTGATACCAGAATCTGCTGTTCTACATAGAATCTGCACTTTCCTGTTTTATTTGTCCTTGGCTACTAGCTATATTTGTTTGTTTTCCCCCAAAGTGCATGCTTATACCATGTTCCTTCTTGAGTCTCTTATTGTACTTTATCCTCTTATTCTTCCATTTCAATAGAGAGTAACCTTCAATGTTCAAAATGGTTATATATCTTTCTAAACTTGAGCTAGAACAAAACAATGCAACTCCTTAATACTAATGTAAATTATAAGATTGTCCTGCAAGTGTTTTGTTTGTTGAAAGTCTTATGTACCAAATGCAGATACAGTTTTATTGGGGTGAAGAGAGACAATGTGCTCACTTCTTAACTGGCATATCTTGGCCCTTAATAAAATATTTGGTTACAACCCAACTACTAGTTGCATATAATGCATACTGAAGAACTCTATGATGAATGGGATTAGAAAAGTCACAGTAATTACCAGAGATGTCTGATAGGCAGAGATGTATGTTTCATAGCAACCAAAACCCCACCTTGGTCCAGATAAAGAACGCTGTGTTCATCTTCAAAGATCTAGTGAGATACATAAAAAGATACACAAAGTTGTGTGTGTAAAATCAAGGGCTGACAGGTTTCTTTTGTAATAAATAAATATATAAACCCTTAAAAAATACATTGGGAAGAAAATCTTGCTACCCATCTTCTATTTATGTCCCAAAAAATGAATCATTTTCTTAGGTATGAGAATAATCAAGATTTCAGTTCATTGATTAGAAAAGGTTTATAGAAAGCAAAAGAAATAAAAAAAGGAAGGAAGGAAGGAAGGAAGGAAGGAAGGAAGGAAGGAAGGAAGGAGTGAGTGAGCTTGGTCATCTGCAGAAGGAAAGTCTTCATTAATATACCTGTACATATGGTGAGAATATCTGGTAATATGATGCCTGAATAGAATTAACAGTAAAAATTTATTCAAAAGAAAGTGCTACAGTTATAAAGCAATGACACTAATCCATTATGAATTCTTATTTTGCTAATTATTCAGTAGTGCCTCATCTGTGGGTTTCTAAGCCAAGCACAAACAGTAAAAAGGGAATGCATACATTTTTGATGTATTACAGCAAATATACTACTTTCTTAAATGAAAATTCTAGCTATGTGGGAAAAAATGTTCTAAATTCCATCACTTGTACACTTAGGTAACTGGAGATCTAAAAAGTATTCCTTTGACTAGAAAGATGGCTTATAAATCAAATAAATAAATCATGCAGTTTTAGGCAGGGGCAAAAGTAGAATGTGAAGACAGTCCATTCCTCTTGGGAAACAAATAACTTTCTCTGAGAAGTGGAGACTGAAAGAATGGGAGAAGCCTGAACTGGAGCCTCAAATGTTCACCTGGACAGCCTCACCCAAGAAGGTGAAGGTTCCACATCACACTCCTAGAAAGAAAAATAGTATTGATCTACTGTTAAGTAGAATGACTACATTCAGAAGCACAGAACATAAATATTTCTGATTAATTTTGCAGCAACCTGATAGCAATGAAACATGCCTTGTTTACTTTTAGATGTTGTTGTTCAGTCGTTAAGTCGTGTCCGACTCTTCATGACCCGATGAACCATATTGCGCCAGGCCTTCCTGTCCTTCACTGCCTCCCTGAGTTTGCT